GTAATGCCACTGTGCGGTCTGATTCGTGCCCTGGGTTCGACAAGCCCTTCGCCCAAGGCTTCGCTGACGGCTTAACCATGGGCGAGGATTGTCTAACTCTTGACATTGTGAGACCAGCCAATGTTAAACCTGGAGACAACCTCCCCGTTTTCTTCTGGATATATGGCGGTGGCTTCAAAGCCGGGGGATCTGCGGACCCGCGCTACAACACGTCCTTCATGGTGCGCAACTCAATGGATATGAAGAAGCCTATCATCGCCGTCGTTCCCAACTACCGCACATCAGCGTTTGGCTTGTTGGCCTCCAAAGAGGTCGCAGCGGCGGGGGTGGGTAATATTGCTCTCTTTGACCAGCGGCTGGCGATGGAATGGGTGTCCGAGAATATTCGCGCGTTCGGTGGTGACCCCAGCAAAGTCACAATTGCTGACGAGAGCGCAGGAGGCTCCTCAGCTGGATACCAGTTGGTGGCATTTAAGGGGAAGAACAACGGCCTATTCAGAAGTGCCATTCTGGAGAGTTCGAGCTTGCTCGGTGCTTCGAGTAAGTGTTGTCTTTGATGGCTGAAGCAAATACGGCTGGCATTTATGTTTTGCTAACTGCTCATAATAGTGAACACTGTTGAGACGTTGAATGTCACTTACCAAGGATGGTATGATAACATCACCACAACGGTTGGCTGTAACACTGCTGCAGACTCCTTGGCATGTCTCCGCACCGTTCCTTACGCGAAGCTCTTCAGTGCTGTGAATGGCTTCCAGTTCAAACCCTATATAGACGGCAAATTCATATCTCAGCCTCCATCCGCCTCGATAGCAAAGGGCGAGATTGCCGACGTCGCCCTCATCATGGGGTCTAACACAGACGAAGGCACAGCTGAATTTTTTACGCCCCGTGGAACCCTAAACAACGACAGCGACATTTCGTCTCTTGTCGCACATCTGGGTGGTGGTCTCAATGACACGGTTGTCGCCAACATCCTCCGTCTCTATCCTGATGACCCCATCCAGGGCTGCCCCTTTGGCACTGGACCCGAGAGATTCGCAGACCAAGGCTTCCAGTTCAAGCGTGGCGCTGCCATTTCTGGTGATGTAAATATCCACGCTGGTCGCCGTGCCTATGCCGTCGATCATAGCCAGCGCTCCAAGCACCCGATCTATACGTACCGCTTCGACCAGGCGCCGTGGGACATGCAAGAAGTCGATGTTACAACTACTGCACCAGTATATGTCACGCATTACACTGAGATTGTCCACGTTTTTGATAATCCTGATAAGAATGTCAACTGGATTGGGCCGTATCCAATTATCTCAGAGCTAGCCAGCTTCGTGTCTCGATCTTGGGTATCATTCATCCATGACCAGAACCCAAACAACCACGGTCTTCAGGGAAAGCCAGTATGGCCAAAATACGACACTTCTAATCCGCAGAATATTGTTTTCAGAGCTGGTGCCAGCTGGGTGGAGAAAGACGATTACCGGAAACCACAGCTGGCGTACTGGAGCAAACTCTGGTCAGAGCTGATGACATAGTCGTATACTCTAGTAGGCACTAGCAAGGTTTTCTGATTTCATCTCAACCAAATAGCTCTAGATTTGTCAAGGAGAATAAAGAGAGCTATTCATAGCCACGAGCAATCATGTTTCTATGTTAGCTACTATTTTCTCACCAAACATTGCTTTCTGATGTGCTATATCAAATCCGTTTTAATTGGATAATGTTTTGTATTACGTAGTTATGGACCATATCACTATCAAAAGAGGTAGTAGTATATGGAATAGCGGTCATAGAGCGATGCCAACAGGATGTATTCTTTGTAAGCGGCATCATCCATAATAGCAATCTTAGTGGTAATGATGTCAATATTGTAAGAATCCGATTAAGTTGCCGTCTATGCGGAGTAGTTGGCGTTTGAGCGTTTATCAGCGTCTTCTAAAATATCACTAGGTGCTACAAACCGAGGACCCCGGTCAGTACGGTAGAGATATCCGGTCGGATTATTTTAATGGCTTTCTTTTGAACATATTGATTGATAGATATATTTATATGTACATTTCGATACGCATTGTGTCTTATAAGTCACAATCAGTTAAGCATCTGTTTGCAGAGAGATAACCCTCTTTCAGGTCTGTAGTTCTGGCCAGATAGTCCCCCAAAACGCCAGCTGTGGTTTCCGGTAATCGTCGTCCTCAATGAAACTCCCTCCTTCACGGAATACTATGTTTTGAGGCTGCTTCGGATCATACTCTGGCCATTTTGGGAGATTCGGATCTTGGAGTCCGTGGTTATTAGGATTGAGATCATGAACAAATGAAGCCCAAGATCGCGACATGAAGGACTGCAGCCTCGCATAGCTTCGGTAGGGCCCAATGAAGTTACTGTTGTTATTGGGGTTGTCAAACACATACACAATCTGTGATTGATGATTAGCGATGAGATGCAGAAATCGTACAATTGGCAAGTACCTCAGAGAAGTGTGTCACATAGACCGGAGGGACAATCATAATGGATGGCTCCCTCATATCCCAAGGTGCTTGGTCAAACCTATATGTGTATATGGGTTTATGGCTTCGAGTGCTGTGTGAGTTTGCGTAGAATCTTCGCCCAGCATGCATAAAATAGTCGCCAGCAATAGCAGCGCCTCGCTTGTACTGGAATCCCTGGTCTGCGAACCGTTCAGGCCCTGTTCCAAATGGGCAACCCCAGGTAGGGTCATCTGGATATAGCTTCATCACTGTCTCTACGGTTTCATTGTCAAGTCCACTTCCAAGAGCCTGAACGTATTTGAATACATCCTCATCGGTATTCAAAGGATTTGCACGAGGCCCTAAGAAAATAGCAGTTCCTTCATCAGTATTGGTACCCATGATGATGGAAACATCGGCGATTTCTCCTTTTTGGATAGACTGTGACGGTAATTGTGAGATGAACTCGCCATCCATGATTGGAGTCTGGCGGAACCCAATACACGCGTTATATAAAGCGTCATATGGAACAGTTCGTAGGCAAGCTAGGCTGTCGTTCGAGGTACTGCAGCCCACAGTTTCTGTAATGTTGTCGTACATGCCTTGATAGCTTCGCTTCAATTGTTCGGGGGTATTAACTATAGGATTAGTTGGACCTTCTTTGGTCTATCTAAAGAAGTTTCATGCTTACTTGGAGCTCCTAGCAAACTTGCACTCTCCATAATGGCTCCACGGAAAAGCCCGTCATTATTGCCCTTGAAGCCAATTAGGTGATAGCCTGTGCTTGAACCACCTGCACTTTCTCCCGCGATTGTAACCTACCACAAGTCAATAAATGTTCACCTGTTGTAGAGAGTATTTACCTTTTCAGGATCACCACCAAAGCCCTTGATGTTTTCTTGGATCCATTTAAGGCCCCGTCTCTGATCAAAGAGCCCAATATTGCCAACATTTGCATCCAAAACTTCTTGAGATGCCAAAAAGCCAAAACACATTGTTCGATAGTTAATGATAGCACCCATGATGGGCTTATTCATCTCCACCGAGTTTTGGACGATATATGACATATTGTACTTGGGATCAGCAGACCCTCCAGCAATAAAACCTGTATGGAATCAGTTTCGCTATATGGTTAAAGGTCGGCAACATAATAATTCTACCTCCACCATAGAACCAGACAAAGACGGGTAATTTGTCGAGAGGGTTGACGTTGGCTGGTCGGACGATATCAATGGTCAAGCAGTCTTCTCCTAAAGTGAGTCCGTCGATAAGACTACCACCAACAAGAGTGAGTGGAAATCCGTTATACCCTGGACACGAATCAGATCGGACTGTTGCATTCCGTAAGCCAGACCAAGATTGGTTGTATGGCAGAGACTTTCGGAGACGAAGGTCCCCGACAGGTGCTTGAGCATATGGAATGCCGTAAAATGCTTCTTGTTTAAAAGATGGAATGCTTAATCCTGAGTATGTTCCATTGATGGTATGAACTATAGGTGAGGACACAGCAAAGACGGTGAGAGCATGCCCTATGAGGCCGACGAGGGAGAAGGCCTTGAACAACATAGTGTCAATTGCTACCAGAAACGGGCTATCATTACGTGGCAAAGCCTAATATTCAAGAGTCTATAGAGTCTACCGAGACATTTTATACTAGCGCTTTGACTTACACGATCTTTTCTGAAGTCATCGTACCAACAGTGCTCAGTGTGGTGATCTCCGCAGCGGAACAGCTTTCCCACGATGGTCTATTTCCCCGCATCTCCCCGTAGCCTCAACTGCCGATGTTCCGGTAAGCTGGGCTACTAATTATTCATGGGGAGAACTATTTTAACTAAAGAATAGAACCGGTGTCTAGTCAAATTACAATTCGCCTATTTTACGAATTGGGCTTGTGTGAGTCCTGTGAGTGTCCTGGATGATTCGGGTGTCCCGCTTATGCGACCCCTTCAGCCAACGCTCATGTTAGCTAAGAGGACCGCATAGTGGAAATAATCCATCAAATCATCTCATTCAGCCTAGAAGTTATTATTTCCGTGGAAATAAAATTGGCAAATATGACTAGTGGTTATCCAGTAACATTACTTCGTCTGATTTGGGCTTATCGCCGACAGTGTTTGGTAAAGGCAGTCGTAGCATCACCAGTGTATCAAAAACTTGCCCAACAGACTTGACACTCTCTTAGACGGGTTGCATCCTGGCTTCCAAATTTGTAATAGTATGTAATTTACTATATCTGCCGCCCACAAACCATGATTGATTCCAATTTAGCCTAGTCGACGAGCCTTGGTAATTCTTCTTACAAGCCTGTATAATACACATATCCCGTGATAAAGCATTCGGCGTAACTCCCTGGGCGACCATGAATATAGAGGAGAAAGAAACCTAGCTTCATATGTTTCTTAACTAGTTGGGGTTCTCTTTGCACTCGTGCCATACACAAAGTGAAAATACTGGCTGCCGAAGTAAATGGGAGATTCTAAATGCTATAAACACCTTCTAAGTATATTAACACTTGCTCCCCTTGCCATAGCCAAGTCAATCATTGTTCAGTTTTAGAATGCTGTCCACGTTCTCCACCACAGTCTGTTCCAGCGGCTTCCATCCATCCTGATTAGCCCATTTCTTCAAAAGAGCTGAAAAAGTGAGAACGGTTTGGTTATCCATGTCATCCACGAATCTGTGCTCTGGATAGTGCTTGCGCATGATCTCTAGAACATCATTACCGTTGCACTTGTGACCCCAAGCTTGAAGGCGGGCATTGTTAACCTCAGGCTCCAAGGCGGCAGCAACATGCAGCACGGCTACGTCTTTAACATCCACCCCATAATCTATATAGACGTACAGTCGTTAGCTGAGATCAAGCTCGTTTAGCAATTGAGGTTAAGAGCGAACTTACTAGCGCCATGGGGACCCCAAAATGATGTGTCTCCGTCGTAAAGATTCCTGATCCAGGCTCCAGTACCCTCATTATGGACCTTGTTGAGTGCTTCTCCCATTATAGCAGATGGAGGTACTGAATTGATAGTAAAGTGTGGCTTTCTTTCTTCTGCAAACTGTCATACTGCTTTCTCAGCAGCTGCCTTACTCGCCATGTATGTAAGCATACCGCGAGAAGGCTCATAAGGGTGGTGCCCAGGGGGCTTGAGTAGCAAAATCATTGTATGTATCCCATGTAACTTGGGTGTCATTACCAGGTCTAGGCATCGTAACGGCTCCAATATAGCTCGTATAAACAAACGCCTTGACCGATTGCTCTCGAGTTGCGGCCTCAAGAATCGAAGTAGCGCCGGCCACTGTTTTGGGGATTACCGTGTTTGGATCTGGGTCAAAGGTGACGATGCTGGCCACATGAACGATGGCAGAAACCCCCTTGATCGCCTCGTCAAAAGCGTGGTCGTCCGCGAGATCAGCTACTTCAGATAGCTCGAAATCACCACGGGCGGCAAAGTCTTTCAGGACGTCCTTTATGAGCCATAATGCCCTATCTAAGTCTCGGGATGTCCCTCGAACCTTGAATCCGCGGTCGAGGAAGGCTTTGGCAATGTGGGATGCAACGAAGCCCGTCACACCAGTGACTAAGACCCAGGAGCCCTGGGGAAAGTTGGTTATCGGATCTGCCATGATTACAAGGAGTAAGGTGTTTGGTGATCTCTGATGTGTTTTGGTGATCTCTGATGTATTTTATTGTTCCCACGAGGAAGGCAACACATATATTTATAGCCATAAAACTAGTTGAACATGCCAAAGTCATCGACTGGTCTTTACTATCCACCAACATCCTCTTCTGGTGGGGACAGGCAGTAATGCCGAGACGTGCAGTTTCCTCTTCGAATAGCTTTGCCAATGTTTCCATAGAGGCTAATACATGCAATCTTCATAGCGCGTATATTTATCCCCGAGGCCGTCATTTGCAACAACAAGGCGGTCATTTGTTTCCGACAATTGCGCTTCACCCCGCCCCCGATGGCGCTCCGCCCGACCGTTTATCAATGTGCCGTCTCGGCTCTTGGTCTATTAACAATCGGGATTTCTTACGGGAATTTGGTAATTGGATATTTATAATCACTCTTTCTCTCGCTTTCTCCATTCTAGTCGATTCTATCAGGAGCAGAAGATGAAATGCAGCAAGCAATCTCGAGAATGTTCTCTGTGCTCGGTATGTCGCCAATTTTCAGTCTCTGGCCAAATGCGAAGTATCTCGGGAACGCGGCCTCTCTAAAAGCTGTCGCTTCAGAATATTTTTTTGCAAATTACTGATTGAATCCTCTTATTTACGATTGTAGATACGAGACGGCTTATGACGCCGACATCATGTCGCGAGACTGTCATAGTGAATTGGGTTGACTATACCTACGATAGCAACGAGAGTATATACCTTGTGCATTAAACATTTTTAGGAGCAGAGATTTCAAGAATTAAATATCATAAATACATAAATGGTTCCTTTAACATCTTAAAGGTCGAAAAGAAACTTGGCTCAGTGACCTATACTTCAGTATAGAAAATATCTATATGGAGAACGCAATAGACTTAAAAGCGAATAGACACTTTCCAGCCAATGCGCCTGATTCTAGCCGCCAGCACAAATGCTGTTCCCGCTATACAAAATACCCCAGAGAAGACCTTGAGACCAACCCAGCCACCTGCTCCGTCTAGTATTGCGCCGTTAATTGGATTTGTTGTCAAGCCACCAATTGCAATGGAAAATTGAACAATGCCTGAGCGGAACCCAAGTTCCCGCAATGGCGCGATCTGTGCGACCATGGGTGTAATGAGTGACACATAAGCGCCGGAGAAAAACCCGAATAGGACGGCGAATGCAATGAGCGCCGGGTCGCTCGAGTCGGGCAGCCAAAGGGCCAACACCCAGATACCGGATAGGAAGCAAACGACAATGAAGACGTTGAAGCGGCCGATTTTGTCGCCTACAATTCCGGCGGAAAGACGTCCAAATAATGATCCGGCATTAAGTATAGGCAGCAGATATTGGACCAGATCGGCATTCATGCCAGCGTTGAGAGCCTGAACGGGCAGATAAGTAATAATAGCGAAGAAGCCATAGCTGAAGCAGAAGAAGCCTGCAATGAGTAAAAGAAAGTCAACCTCAGTTAAAGGCTTGAGGAGCTCAGCCCTCGTGATCTTGTGTGGATGTGGCGGAACGTGAGCACGCACGGTCAGATTCGCCAATATCAAGAGGAAAAGCATCAGGAATGCAGAGATACGCATAGCCCATCCGAAGCCAAGTTCACGAATCAGGTGTGATATCATTATAGGGAAGATGATACCGCCAATACTTGAGCCAGTAAAGAGGATGCCAATGGCCGCGCCACGCCTGTGATTAAACCAGCCGAGTGTAGCAGTGACGGCTGAATCCAGTGAGTATTAGTATTAGAATTTGAACAATCGCTATCCATGCAGAGTTGTTTATACCTGGCTGGAAGATGCCCGAAATGCCGATGGCAGAGCAGACTCCTTGGGCAAGAAGTATCTGATAGTACTCAGTACCAAGACTCGCCATCATTACACCGAAAATATGCATGATGCTACCTATCAGGAGCAGCCATCGTGGGCCGAAATGGTCGTATAGAGTGCCGATAAAAGGTCCCTGGATGGAATTAGCTTCTTGAGTGCCCAATCGTGGAGGTATTAGAGCTCACCAAGCCCATGACGATGGCGATGAGAAGCGACGGAATCCATGAGATGGTGCTGGGAGAATAGTGACTGAGCAAATCGGTCTGGTAGTACTCTTGGAAGACCCCAATACCTTTCTATCGTCAGCAAAAATGGCTCCATAAGAAACGAGGCATATTCTTACTATTTAGCCATCCAAAACTACAGAACGAAACACACCAAGCACCAAGCACAACAAGCCAAGCGGCAGTTCCTCCACCTGGGGCGTCGCCCTCGTGCGGCTGTGGCTGTTTAGTCTCTACAGTCTCCTGATCTTGTAAGATAGAGGGGACGCCAGATTTGCTGTCGGGGTTGCTGATTTGATCTGTGTCGGTCAGAATGTTGCCTATGGCCGGAGATCTCTCGACTACAGTAGGTTGGCCTTGATCCGACATTTTCTCAGTAGACTCTTGTGCTTGTATACGCAATTATCGACAATAAATATTGACAAGTATGGTCCTCTAGGATAGGTGAATGGAGTATATATTGAACGAAAATAAATAGGATGCCACGTTATAATAAGTACTTATACGCCGTAGAAAGGTGGCCATGTAGCTTTGGTTCACGTCAGGAGTTAAACCCCAACTCATCCGAAATACCGATGACCAAAAGATCTGGTAACCAGAATCCCCGGCATCTTTGATGAAACTGTTATCTCCGGACAAATTACTTGAACTGATGAGTATTGGTTGTAATCTGTTTACCTAGTCTCTGTTGAGCGCTGGTTTAAGACATCTACCGCGGCCATGACTAGACTCCACTCTGAATGGACGGCAATTTAAGCGGGAGCGGGAGTAAAACTCGGGCTCGGGTATAGAGGCCCGCGTCCGGCACTTGGGCTTACTAATGGATTCATACTCCGTACTTTCGGCACGGCAGTAAAAGCATAGCTCGGCCCATTCTGGCAACTGAACAACCTCATGCATTTCCATCTATGTAAAATAAGTGGTTAGAGCCCTGGGTGGTTGTTCTACCATCTAGTACCATCGCCATCCTCGCCATGCGTATGTGTGTCCAGCGTGGTGGTGATATCTGTGAGGACATCAATTGACCTCCTCCTCTAGCGCCTGCACTTGTAGCTACCTGGCAAGCGATAGTCAGAAGAAGCGAGACTGCAAAATGAATAAGTGCATACATTCAGCGATATAAGCACCCAATCAGCTTCAGGTCATCAAGTGGTGCTTTTATAGTCGTTCCCCTACCAGCTAGCACCTCAAGTTCGAGTCACTATTTAGTATCCCGTATCAGATAGAAATACTAGATACTAGGCAAATACATTTACAGTAGAAAGTATTTAAAATATATAACTATAGTAGCGGCTACTAGATAAATATAAATATAGTAGTAGCTACTAGATCAATATAAATATAGTAGTAGCTATTGAAGGCGGTAGATGGGCCAACCAGACGCCCTGAAGAACTCTAGCGCTGACAGCTTGGCGTCCTGGACCAGACGGTTGATATAGTTGCCCTCGATATCTTTATCATCAATCGTCATAACCGTCGGAGGGAGCTGCTTGTCGTCTTGTCGTCGCCGCCCAAGAGGCAAGGGAGCATTGTGCTGCCCCAGACACGGTATAAGTCAGGGCGGCTAATGCTGCCCGCCTCATCCACCGCGATGCCTCTGGCCCTCGTCATCTTCCAAATGCTATAGGGCTCCTGCATGGACATTGCTGGCGCTGCACAGAGGATATCTGCACTCCAAAGAAGATGCCCAAACATTCCCTCAATGGCCTTCTCTTGGACCATTTGGCCGCTTCCATACTCTTACTAGCTGATTTTTCCTGTGGCGACGGCGCTGAGACGCTCGCAATCTCTGCGCATGTCCATTTGCTGTTGCATTTCGTGAATGGCCTTGGGGTCATCCTCGTGGATCCCACGGACAGCGGGGGAGTGAAGGACCATCAGCAGCCAGAAAGAAGGGGTTAGATTGAGCGTCCACTTAGAGTCGATGCTCCAATCCTGGTTGGGCGCAGCCTTATCGAAGCGGCGGCGGCAGTGGTTGAAACAAGTTCTTCATTGCGGCATAAGAGGTAGAAGCGACAATGAACGAAAAGCTTTCTTGCTGGAGGATGTTCAACAAAGTAAAGCGGTCCTCGATGGTCCCGTTGCCGTTGATGAATGCGTCGCATTGATGTCCTTTATTGGCAAAGGGCATCTCATATTCCTTGACGACCACCTCTGAGATATCTTGAGGATAGACATCGATCCGGCACATGGTCTTTGTCGAATCTGGGAGCCTTTTCAGCATGGCCGCCTCCAATTCGTCGTGAGTGACGACAGAGTTGGTCGGCAGCTGGACATCAATCGAGTAGGTTTCAGTGGGAATGATGCGTGCTCGTCCAGTCTTGTGGTCAAATGTGAACGTACAAGGTTAGTCACCGTTGACCACTATCAATTGATCACTGTCGACATTTGGGTAGAGAAAGCTTACGTGCATGGCATATGCCAAATCCATCGTCCTCAACCTTGGGCCCAAAGGGAATTTCGATAGAGAAACCCATCTAGGATGACTTGTCCTTTTCCCTGTGGCACTGGATGGTGGTGGCAACGTCGGTCTTGAGACCCAAACCTTTGCCTCCGGAAAACACATCGTCGATCAAAATCACGCAAGGTTTCCAGTAGTGTGGTTTGGGGGTGGTACCCGATTCGGTAGTCTTTGATTGAGACATGGCGAGGTGGTTCGTCGAAAGTGTCGAGAGGGTTGATATGGAGCCTTTTTAAAATGAATTTTCCTCTGGAGAGCGAAAACAACAGATTACCAGCAACAGAGAGACGGCGGCGGCAGCGAGAACGAACATGAACTCTCCTCCGAAGAGCGAGAGCTATGAACAAGGGGGGCGACGGCGAACGACGAGATCTGTAAACTGAGAAGAACCCTTTTCCGAAGAACAAGGGCCCGACCAGAACGGCGCTGGGGACACAAAGACTTGCCGTTGTTACGGTTGACAACGAAGAAACAAACGGGGCAGGCAGCTCTGATCTATCAAATGGATAGATTAAAACGACGAAGACGGTGATGATGATGACTGAAGACGAAAGAAAAAAAGAAGAGGAAAAGAGGAAAAGGAAAAGGGCAGCAATCTGATATCACGGCGTTTCACATCGTCTCCACCTTTGTGCATATGCTTCTCACTTTTTGTTTACTTTCTGATTTAACGGCCGGCTTGCACTCTTGGCGGGTTTTAATATATACAAAGACCTACTTAGGTATATAAACATAGAAGCAGTTACTAGAAAAATGTAAATATAGTAGCAGTTACTAGAGAAATATAGATGCAGTAGCAGTTACTAGAGAAATATAGATATAGTAGGGAAATATAGATATAGCAGCTACTCCTATTGTAGGCGTATGGTTCAACTCGCGAGTGTTCGAAATCTTCCCGATCTCGGTTTTTCTGTCCTCCGCTTGCTTGCTCTCCCTAATGAGTTTGCTTGGATCGATCAGAAGAGAATGAGTTGGCATCGCGCAGCATGAACGTTATCGGCGGCACTTGGGCTTACTAATGGATTCAAACTCCGTACTTTCAATCCACTTCTCGGCACGGCAGTAAAAGCACGACTCGGCCCGTTCTGGTGACTGAACAACCTCATAACCCGTATTCAAATCTCTTAAAGATCAAGTGTATGCTGTTCGGACCTTCTTTTCCCGACTCGTGATCTTCTTACTGCTAACGAAGATGAGTCCCGAACTAAGAGACATGGAGTTTATTTACACAATCTCCGAGCCCGAACCAGAGCAACAGTCTTCCCAGAGTGGCCGCCCGCTCTCTCGCTCATGTTATGTAGGTCTTGATTCTTTCTAGAGCGCGTTAACTCTCCCAAGTTCTTCTATGCCCCGCGATTTGATCATGAAATCATCTTGTCTCGCTGCCGTCGTATCTGACTCTGCGTGTTCCCAAGAATAGACCTGCAATCGCAGAAAGATCCGATGCGACAAGCAAGAACCATGTACTCCTTGCTCGCAAGCCGGCAAGCCATGCGCCTACCCACCACGGCGCATACGGCGGGCAAAACATACTATTATGGCAGACATGGCTTCTCGTATCTCAAGCCTAGAGAAGGCCCTCGCTAAAGCTAACAGTAAGGATTTATCGGCGCTGGGGATAAGCGTTTCCAAAAACTCCAGCAGCTCGTCTTCGGCGCAACCAGTACGGCTTAGAGGCGATGATGTACTTGTTGAAAAGGGATCGTCGAGCCAATACTTCAACGAAGTTATGCTATCCAGAGTTATAGAAGAGGTAAGACTCCATACGATGTTGTCAGACTTTTGTCTCTAATTGCCTTTCACAGGAGCGAGATATAGAGTCCGTTCTATCGACTTCACACACAGGAACACCACATCAGCCCGCTACCTCACCATTCAACCCTGCAGGAATACTTTCGTCCCTGTCTCTCTTGCAGGAACCACACACTTTCCATCCGACCCAGCCTTTGGCTGTGAGACTGTGGAACAACTACGTAGAAAATGTGGATGGCTGTTCTGGGTTGATCAAACTTCTTCACCTTCCTACTGACAGAGTGAAGGTTTATTCGGTCATTCACGATCCAGCAAGCGCGTCTTTTCATGATCTTGCTTTTTGCTTTGCCATTTATTTCGCATCTGCAGTCTCTTTCGAAGACGTTGAGGCTCGGTTATTCCTAGGTCAGGATAAGGATGACGCCCTGAATACTTTTAAAACCGGCCTGGAACAGGCATTTGCTCATGGTGATTTTTTGGATCGCCCAACGCTAACAGGGCTTCTGGCGTTGGTTATATATCTGGTAGTTATTATAAATCTTTCCCTGTTTTATGCTTCTCTATCTGACGAATAATGCGGTGCTAACTGTTGTATAGTCTGGCCTTCGCGTCCATAACCGTGGTAAGGGAATCTGGATTCTAAACGGCCTCACAATACGCATAGCCCAATCTCTAGGCTTACATCGAGATGGGCTACGACTGGGGCTTCCCCCCTTCCAGTCTGAAATGCGCCGTCGACTATGGTGGCACCTACTTAGCCGCGATAGCCGCTCGGGAGAAGACTATGGCCTCGAGAACACCAGTGGGCAGTTGTTGGGTTCTAATGTAAGCTTGCCGCTCAATGTTGACGATGTGGATCTCTCTCCAGATATGAAGGAGCTTCCCAAGCCTAAAAATAGTTGGACAGCCATGACTTTCTCCCTCATCAACATCGAACTTGCAAAGTCCATCCACAAGCTAGCCGATATCGCCGCAACTTCGTCTCTTTCTTCCCCTCCCACCGAGGACATAAGGATAAAAGTCATCGACGATTTGAGTGCATCCATTGAGGGGTATTTGCAGAACTGCAATCCAGTGATACCGCAACACCGCATGACGCTGCTCTGTTCTCGATTCCTCGTCCGAAAACTCAACTTTACTACAAGACTGCAATGGTCATTTCTACGGCGTACTATGAAGAGTGACGAATTTGCAACAGAAGAGAATCTTGTGGAGGCATTGGAACTCTTAGAACCAAGATTGTTCAATGACGATGGCTTGCTAAAGCAATTCTCTTGGGCAAGGAGAGCTTATCCACAATATCACATCACCATGTACGTCTTGTGGCATCTCTGTGTTAAACCCGAAGGCCCGAGCGTGGACAGGGCATGGAGGGCTTTGGATATTCACTTCTCTGAGGTACTTTGTGACAAGTCTACCATCGGGTTTGGATCCAAGTCGGCGGTCCTCACGGCTCTCAAGGCCAAAGCTCTTTCAATAAGGGCGAAGCATCGAGGAACAAACCCGAGAGAAAATAGAGCAAATACTGAAGGCAGCTCTGCTCTTACCTTACATGAGGGTGTTTCAGAGAATAATGGCCTGCCTTCGTTCCTCTTTGGAAACATTGTTGGTGCTGACAGTCTTGAGTTTGACATTGATAAAGGGGAGTGGCTAGACTGGACAACCCTGCCAAGGGGATCGCAAGGTGATAGTCCGGCTGAATCCTTTGCGTAAATAAGTTCTAAAGACACGCGTTATAAATATATATACTAGTTTATACCAACATACAGCTACGACTGTAGGTCGGCGCTTCGGTGCATAGATCTTCGGGCAGTCTGAAATTAGATTACAGTTGGTGTGGAAGGTTCAATCCAACACTACCTTGTCTTTCATGTTAGAGGAGCATACACATGGAAACCCCCCTAAAGAGGTTTCTCGCCGCCGCCTTCCTACATATAAATATATATTTCCCCCGTCCGAAATGACAAATTTTGCTGGCCTATGTAAGCCTCATGATCCGACCCAGATCGACGCCGTAGCACATTGGGCACAAGAGATTCGGCGTAGGCAGATTTACCAGCCCTGATGCACAAGAAGTATCGTTAGAGAACACAAATAAAATACGAAAAACTCCGTGTCGACTGAGGAGATATAAAAAGAAGCTAATACGGGTAGCGACATAACTTGCCAAGTAAAGCGGCAAGGCGGGGTTGATATTGGGTACCACGAGGGAGAAGGGTATGCAGTCGATGTCCAATTAGCATAGTAGATACCGTTATATGCCAAAGTTCTGAAGATCATCGGTTTCAAAGCAGCCTGGTGTAGCTGAGGCATTGGATAGGCATGACTGATACTAAAGTTGTAGGTGACGAGCAGTTGTATAGTCCCTGAGATGCATATGTTCTCGAGTAGCTATCTCGCTCCCTGTCCCAGACGCATGAACCAGAATTTCCCTTCACATAGAAGGCACCTTGGAGCCTTTCATTAGAGTTTTCATTGCTACTATAACCCATTCTTCGCTTGTGCTTTCTGCCAGCCCCTCTGGTGTTGCTACATAATGAATCAATGACCTGGCGCTGACAGACCAAGTACTTGATCTAGCTATATCTACCCAGATGTACTATATCTACCTAGATTTACTATATCTACCTAGATTTACTGTATCTACCTAGATTTACTGTATCTACATAGATTTACTATATCTACATAGATTTACAGCTCAGCCCACAGCACACGAATCTCCTGTGGGTACACCACGAACTAATTCAATCGTCGACCTGGCTCCTAATAGTAGTAAAAAGATTAACGGTGGTAAAAGGCATTTACTCACCTGGCGCCGCATGTCGGGGGTTTCATGTCGTTCGTGTGACCACCCTTTGTCAAGCCCATCATGTTGTTTGCTTACCTTTCCGTCAACTAACTAGCTCTCCTTCTTGTTCTTAGCCTCAACATATGATTGAGTTTCAAGATCATCACGGCGATAAAAATAGAGTTACTATTTCCATTGATCACTACTAATCCTCTCACTAATCTTCCTTTTCCTCCTCCAGTCATACTATCCTTAATACTACTCTGTAGCTTGTTACTCAAACCCCTCTCTCAGAATGGATTGAACACCTTGATACCCAACAAGGTACTACGTGTAATAATCATCGTGTCACTGCTTTTCTCCGAGGCTTTAAGCGCTTAGGGGTGTAACATAAGAATTCAGATGAGGGGTTACGTGAGACATGGTGAGGCGGTTTGTCGAGAATGAAAATGAGCTCCTCTCCGAAGAGTAGGAGCTGTTAACCAGGGGGGCGGCGGCGGCGAGAAAAACCATGAACTTCTCTCCGAAGTTCAAGGGGGACACAAAGACTTGACGTTGTCAAGATTGACAACGAAGAAACAAACGGGCAAGCAGCTATGATCTATCTTGGATAGATTAAAAGGACGAAGACGATGATGATGATGACTGAAGACGAAAGAAAAAAAAAAGAGAGAAGAAGAGGAAAAGAGGAAGAGGAAAGGGCAGCAACTTGATATCATACATAAGGCATTTCACATTGTCTCCACTTTCGTGCATATGCTTCTCACTTTTTATTTACTTTCTGATTTAATGGCCGGCTTGCATACTTCGCGAGTTTTGATATATACAAAGACCCAATTACCTATTTATCGACGCGGATGTATTTAATGAGGCGGATTCTGATCGTCTACGAAACGACGGACTTTGAAGCTGTGGAAATTACAGCTGGAGAATGGACCAGAGCAAGCAAACAAGGATGATATATTACAGCGGGAGCTTGACCAATTATTATGTTTACCTACGACAAAGCGGTTGTGGGACCAGAAATTGCTGCTCATTTGTTATGTGAATCTGTAGATATATTGCAATATAAATGCGGCATACTCGACATTTGTTACAGTGGTTTGCCCATTAACAATATGGGACTAGCTATCAATTTGTTCGTCATCTCATCGCAAGTTTCTGAATCTTCATTATATGCACGTGTGAAGCAAATCCTCATCTTCTCAGCTGTGTCCAACGGCAACCCTGAGCCAATCTACTTTCGCCAAGCGAACTGATCAGGTTTTAGTATCTTCTCTACCAATGCTACTATCCGCAAATCCAGGTCTCTGAATCCACCTGCGAGCGGCCGACCGCATATTTTGGCATTCTTGGCGAGGACATCGAAGTGACAGGGGACATATCATCAGTGCTCATAGCTTAGTTCAACCGGACAGATGTCTCAATCTACGAGGCTCACTTTGCTGTCATGACGGCCTTTTACATTGCATCCTTCTTTCGTGGGGATATCAGTATTCCAATATTATAGTACTAAGAAAACTCTCTAATCACCAGCCTCTGAGACCACCTTTCCGTGGCGTGATATCCAAGTTTGGTGGTAAGTGCTTCTAACTCATTATATGTAGTCTCTCTACAATAGCAAGCCTTGCTCGCCAGCGCGTGTCGCAAGGAAGGCATTTGCTTAGTGATAGAACCGTAGGTAATCTTAAAGATAAAATGTTCCGAAAAGAAGAGAGAGTGTGCAAAAATTAGGTGGTTGATGCTGAGAAGAGATAATAAAAAAAAGGATATATTGACACGATTCGAAGCTGCGACCTCTGCCAGAAAAAAACACCCGCACTACCTTCTCCGAAGAGCAAGGTAAGAACCCCTCTAACCTGGCTTGGGAGCTGGGTTCCCGGGCTGCCGGCTGGCGATTGATGGTGAATTATTCTTTATTATAGGGGGTACAAGCTAGAAGGCGCGCAGTAGGTACACGGGGGGTATAACTATAGGGACCTTCTATGAAGTATCCCTTTCTTGCTGACGGGTATCTAAAAAAGACCAGGTCCTATGGCTTAGTATGGTAAAACGCTGATTCTAATGAAGCTGGATCCGATGAAAGAAGAGGCCATGCTCTCAAGTTTTCTCATGTAAGCTTCCAATGTATGCATATATATCGTCCTATTATCGTGCTGCGAGAAGCAGTATCTGAAACTGTGCTGCTGGGCTAACACAAAGAAAATAATTGAATAAAAGAGAATTGAAAAGGGTCAAAGATGATTCAAAACATGTCACGAGAACAAACACTAGATTTTTCTTTGACCTTATCCAACAAAGAGAATAGATCTTTGTTTTTTTAGGTCTTGTTGGCCACACAAGACTAGCTAAAACTTGGATGCTTCCTTGCAGCTCCTGCATTGGACTGTGTAACGTCGGGTGTTTGCTTTTCTCCTTTACCCTGCGTACAAATTTAATGTCCAGAGCATCCCAACGCTCTTCTCAGTTCTGACCGTTACGCTAACCATCTCACATTTTCCGACGCGTCCAGGCACAATGCCAGCCACATCGTCAGTTAGGGATGAAGCCCCTACGTACACCGCAGAGGATTTACTCTCCCTTGATGACGGACAGTTCATTGAATTTTTGAAGCGTTGCGAACGCCCAGAGGGCGGATATGATATTTCAAGCGCGTCAGATCTCCACCTGATGGTAGAGTCGCGACGACAATTGCTTTTCGAAAGGTTGAGGGACGGAAATCTTTTGGGGGATCCAAGTTTGTCTATATATGGTCTTATCTTCTAATCTTGAGTAGAACTGCCATGCGACAGCTTGCGAAAACAACTGAGCCTACCCTCGACATCGATACGCTCACAAAACGCTTGGCCGACGTTGCTGAAGGCCCGAACACCCCTCGTGAATACACCCGACGGGGGTCGCGCGATAGGAATTCCAATTCTACCTTGTCTCCTTCATCGTCTGATGATAGAAATATGGAGCTGCTGCGTCTTGAAGAGCTCCTTCAGCACGGCGGTAGGCCTGTGGCGCTCGACATTGCGTCGCTAACTGAGAGTGAGCGAAAGGAACTCCCGTGGTTGAGTGGCCCATGGTTCAGAAGTCACTCCCGGTCCAGCAATGAAGTGCCCAGAATTTTTGCCGTACAAGCCAATCGCTGGTGGGCAAGCTTCCCTCCTACATCTACAGGTACCCCACCTTTTGGGTGCCTAACCACCAAAAACCCTCACTCTGTTTGACTAGCTATCAGACAAAACGACCTCGTTTTTTACTTTCACGGTCCCATCTGGGGACTCTGGAGAGATGGCAACATCTACAAACCCTCCGGATAACCAGAACAGAACGAACCCCGTCGCCCCCGGACCCGCGACAGTCTTTCAATTTCAGAAGGAGACGACCCCCTCAGGCCCAAGCACGGGAGAGGTCATGGTCCTCCCCTTCACCCCCAAGAAGAAAAGGCGCTTCGGAGAAGCCCTCGGTATGGACAAAATGCCCACACCCAGCTTCAACAGAGCAAAACCAAGCACAGCGGCGACATCGACCGCAGCGCAGACAGCCTCGAGAGGCCTCATCGCCTCCATTTTCAGCGGTGCAAAGGAAGCCACCGACCCAAGCAAAGAGGGGAAATCACTCACCAAAAACAAAATCATGAGCCAAATCAACGAGATCAACGCCCAACAACGGGCCAGACAAGACGTGGTATTGAATATAGCTATGGCTATCGACTCCTGCCTGGCGCAATACACATCCCAACTCTCCTCAGCGGTGGCAGAACAGGTCCGAACATGCCTGAACACCGCACTCGAAAACTTCGTCACCTCCCACATCAACCCAGAGGGGAGGCCCAAAAACCCTGAAAAAATGGGCAGCAAGGAAAGAGCTGCCCAACCATCTGAGACAGCGTCAGCCAACTCATCTCGCAGCGAGGAAGGCAAATCAAACGGCCCCAAGAACCCCACCACAACGGGACCTCCCGCAGCCACTGGAAAAGTGGGCCAGAAGGCCCCCAAGGTCACGTGGGCACAGGTCGCGTCGCGGAACACCACTCACAACAAAAAGCCGCAAAATGACAGCAACACCCAGAAGAATCCTGCTCCCAGCAGCGAGGGGCCGGCCCCCGCTGACAGAAAACAGAACAAAGACAAAATCACATCGGGCAACCAAAAGCCCGATGACCGCATCTTCATCCGGGTCCCGCCAGACCATGTCTGGAGGAAGATGACGGCCATCGGGGCTAAACAGGAACTGATCAGCCTCATGAAACTCAACGTCGAAGACATTACCTACTTCCAGGAGGTCCGATCGGGTTTCGCCCTCCGGGCAAAGGATCAAAACACCAAGAACAAAATCATCGCTCTCAAGCCAGCCGCAGAGAGCAACGACCTAAAAATCGAAGAAGCATGCACATGGAAGATCTTCCTCGTGCGTGGCGTGCCGAAAACTTATACTGACATGAGCGGGACCCACCCCACGGACGCGCTAATCCCCGAGGAGGCGCGCGCCAGGGCTGGGGCCAAGAACCCACCAGTGGCCTGCCGCAAGGCCCCCTTCGGGGAATCTCTTGACACCTGCGGCTACTTCATCTCGTTCAAGGAGAACGTCAAACCCGGCTTCAGACTATTCAATATCTCCCACCCGGCGGAAGTCCGGGTGCAGCAGCCCCGGGTCACTCAGTGCCAACGGTGCCTCGGTTTCCACAATCCCCGGAACTGCACCAGAACAGAAAGGTGCCTTAAATGCGGCAGGCCGTCATACAGGCACACCGACAACATGGCAGACTGCCCGTCCCCCCCGCAGTGCGCCAACTGCAATGGCCCTCACACGGCAGACTCCCTAAAATGCCCTGCTAGACCGGCGGTCAGGAACGGGGAAAAAGTGCACACAACCCGGGCCCAACTCCAGGCAATCCGGGAATTGGGCCAGCAGGAATACAACAAAGCCAACCCACCCAAACCCAAGCCTGCCCCCGCCCCGGCCCCCAATGCCGAGAAAACGTCTAACCCGGAAACCCGAACGGGCCCCCGCATACGGCTGCCAATATCCAGCTCGGCGCCACCCTTCCCCCCTCAGGCCCCGGCCAAGAAGGTCATAGTCGAAGTCGACCCGGACGAGGAGGACCCCCACGAGGGAGCCTCCCCCGCCAGGTCGGCAGTCCACGTGGCCGGCCCGGACAGCGAGGAGGAGGACGTAGAGACAGAAGGGGACGAAAACATGCTTGACGCTCCCCCCGGAACTGACGGACCCCTCGATGCGAGCCTATGAACGATAGGCCCCGTCGCAGCCGCCGAAGAAACACTGGCCTCAAAATCTTCCAAGCCAACGTCGGGAGGAGCGGTCCATACCAGGACATCGCCCTATCGCTGGCATGGGAAGGTGGCTACGACATTGTGCTGATCCAGGAACCCTACGCCCAATGGGACAGGGTGTCGAACAGAAGGCAAACCAAGAATCATCCTGGATATCAAGCATACAACCCCCTGAACAGCTGGAGGGACGCCAGACCCTCAGTTCTCACATTCGTTAGAATCTCTCCGAACCTCCCCAGCAAACAACTCTCTCCCCCAGGCCTGGAGGACGGATGC